CTAACACTGCTCGTGCGGAAATGCTTTCAAAGAAGTGGAACGTGAGCCCCTTTTTGAATCATCCTGTTGGCCTGGCGATGCTCGTGCATGTTGTAAGATAATAGCATCTCATGGGAGCGGAGGGTGGCCTCGGCAGACACCCCACAAACAGCACACACCCTGATGTCACTGAGCACTGCGGAGTTTCTTATCATTCCAGCTTGGATGGTGCACCTCCTGAAATGACCATTTCCCTGCTTTCTTAAGCAGAGTGCATTGGTTACAAATCAGTTCTGCGTGTGAAGTAGAGCCACCTTCGTGATCATTGTACCGTGGTGAAACCGTAAAGATGACATCTCAAAAGGGAGGTGCCAGGCACTTGAGGTTGGCACTGCCGGGTCTGATGGATGAGACAGTTCAACTCTGTTCAAGGGGTGGCTTTAGGGATGGCTGCCCAGAGCAGGGTGGACTTGGCCTCCTGACACTACTGTGCCAAGAAACCATGTCCTGAGAGTAAACTTTCCCCATGTGAGACGGGATAGCCTTTCTTCTAAATAATAATGACCCTTGCTTTGCAGAGATGTGCTTGCAAATTACCTGTGAGCTGGGGGAGGCCGACGCTCTGCATCAGAGTTGACGGATTTGGGCAGAGGAGGGTCTCCATTCACTTCTGGTTGAAGCCTCAGCTCTGGAGTTTTCCAAGCTCCCAAAGGTAGAGCGTGGGCATGGGACCTGAGGAGCTGTTAGGAGGAGGGAGGTTGTGGGGAGAGACAGGGAGATGTCAGGGAGAAGGGGCCTCCGAAGGCCTCACTGGCCCCTCTGCAGTTCAGCCTCTCTGGTAGGGAAGGGCAAAGTAGAGGCAGGAGGGTATTTGTCTCCAGAAATGGAGCTAAGAGTCTATTGCCTTCTCTCCCCTCCTCTACCGCACTTTAAAATTATCTTCAGACATGCTACCCCTGGACACTGGCAGCCATGGGCAGGTGACAATTCAGGCCTGAAAGACTGGGAGACTTGTTCCTGACGTCCCTCAACCTCCTGCCCTGCACATTCTCCGAGGTTGGCTGGAGAGGGCCACCCTGAAGAGTGGACCTGCCCCCACACCACATTAGACTGCACCCCTTCTCACAGCTGGTCTTCTCCTCCTTGTCAAGGTGGCAGCGGTAAATTCTTTTTAATCACTTTTTGATTAAAAAGGGAACCAAGGCATTTACATGGTTGCTTCCACCAAAGATGTGTGTTCTAAACCCAACCATGAAGAGACATCCGACAGATCTAAATTTTAGAAAATGCCTGTCTGTATTTCTCAAAAATGTCAATAAGAGACGTTTTATTAAAATTTGTGCGTGTCAAAAATGTTATGCAAGACAAATCAAGGCTGGGGATGTGTTCCAGATTCAAGGAATCATTGAGATGGGACAGATAAATGCAACTTATGATTCCGGGCTGGATATATGGACTGCAACTGGCTAGAAATGATGACATTTGAATATGGATTTTAGATAAAGATGATGATGTTGCATTGATGTTGAATTTCCTGAATTTGATGGTTGGACTGGAGTTAGGTGAGGGGAACATACTTTTTTCATGGAATATGCTGAAATGTTAGGGGGCAAAGGGTCATTAAATAGGCAACATCCTTGGAAATTGTTCAGAAAAAGTTGCACAAACACACCCAGCACATACTCAGGAGGAACGGCAGAGCAAAGCAAGTGTGAGACGCTAAACAGCCAAGTCAGTGGACTCGGGAGTTCTTTTTACTACGATTGCAACCTTTTCTGTAAGTCTGGATTTTTTAAAAAAGTAAAAAGGAAAGTGACAGAGAAAGACCACGGAAGGAACAATTAAATAGAGAAAAAAAATTCAAATGACATGAAAAATATTCAACATCACTAACCCAAGCAGTGAAAGATGGTGCTTTTAAAACTCTTCCCATTAACCTATTGCAGAAAAGGAGCAGTGACGTGGAACTCTCCTCCCTACTAGTAAGTGGTGTTTCTGAAAAGCAATTTAAGACTGAAACGCTCTTACACTTAGACCTTGTGCTGCAGTTTGGTTTTGGAATGTTTGTTGAAGGCTGGGTCTCCAGCATGATGCTGTTGGGAGATGGTAGACCTTTAAGAGGTGGGGTTTAGTGGGAGGCTTTTAGGTCATTGGGGGTGTGCCCTTGAAAGGGACTGAAGGATCCCCATCTCTTCCTCCCCCACCCTTCCCTGGCTGTGGGGTGAGCAGCTTGTTCTACCATGTACCCCCCCTTCCTGCCTTGATGTGCTTGCCACCCCCACTGAGCTAAAAGCAATGGCTCTGCCTGATCACACACTGGAACCTCCAAAATTGTGAGCCAAAATAATCCTTCTCCTTTAAGTTGATTCTCTCAGTTATTTGTTATTGATGGAAAGCTGACACACATTGTAACAGAATTCTTCAGATTTTACCCTGGAGTAAAACATCAGAGACGGGACAGAGTTTTACATATAAGAATGTTCTCTCCCATGTTGTTTACCATGGAGGAAAACAGCATCAGCTAAATGTCCAAAAACAGGATAATGGTTAAATGGATATACATCTATATGTTAAAATACTGTGTAGTCACTTAGAGTCTTGTTTTGTGGGGGTTTTCTTAGCACAAAAAACTTTATATCAAATTGAAAAATATGAATCAGTCCTCAAGATAACAAAAGAACCAACACTTCAATCAACTGTTAGGAGGATCTATACAGAACAGAATTCAGGGTTAGATGCTCTGAACTGAGCACCTACACCAACGTTGAGTGGGAACAGCTTCACACTGAGGAGAAGCCCTCTGTGGAGTCTTATTTTTAAAGACATGGTTTTTCCTGGTGCACCCCTCCCACCTCACATTCTTCATAACACCTTCTCTCCTCGTCTCCTCTCCTACTGAAGCGGACCCCAGCATGCTTCCTGCCTCTCCTAGCCACTGCCCACTTTCCGGAGGGGGGTCAGGGACTGCCATGACTTAGCACCCCTGACGGAGCCTTTCATCTAGACTGAGCAGCACCAAGATACTGACTTCCACAACCAGTGGCCCTTGTTCCTGAGTCTCCTGGTGTGAATCCTCTTGACTCTGCCCGTGGAATTCGAGTTTTCCCTTCTCTTATCAGATCGGTCTGAACTTCTCTCTGGGATTTATGTCAGTTCCACTCTCCTGTGGAGGGGTCTTCCCGACGGGCAGCTCTTCGTTGTGTTCTTCAGGCAGTTAACGTCAACCCCACTGCCAGCGCCAGCCCCAATTCTCTAAGCGTTGGCTGGATTAGCTCCTTGGCTCCAGATACCAACGAGGAAATTTTAATTGGACAAACTAAAATTTGGAGGAGAGAGATATAAATCCGGTAAGAACAGTCCACAGCCCTCTCTTGTCATACATTTTAGTTCTACATGTTTTAGACATATTCGTATAACATGTAGTTATATAGTTATTTAGAAGTGTCTTTAGTTTCCAAGTATTTGAAGATTTTCCATATTTCTGTTATTGATTACTGATATAATTCCATGTGGTCAGAGAACATACTCTGTATGATTTCCATCTTTTTAAATTTATTGAGACTTATTTTATGGCTCAGGATACGGTCTATTTTGGTAAATGTTCTAAGTCCTCTAGAAATGAATGTGAATTCTGATGCCCAATAGAGTAGAATGTTATGTAAAATTCAGTCAGGTAAAGTTAGTCAATATTCTGCCCCAAGTCTTCTCTATTCTTACTGAGTTTCTCTATTATTCTATCAATTATCAAGAGGAGGTGCTGAAATTTCCAACTATAATTGTGGATTTGGCATTTCTCTTTTAAGTTTTGTCGGCTTTTGCTTCTCATGCTTTGAAATTTTATTAGCTGCACAACTAGGATTATTATGATTCTTGATGAATTAACCACTTTATCACTATGCAATAGCCCTCTTTATCCCTCATAATAGTCCTTTCTCTGAAATTTGCTTTGTCTGATATTAATATATAAACTCTTCAGTTTTTGAAAATACAGATTTTCCATACTTTTATTTTTAACCTATTTGTGTTTTCCATTTAAAGTGGATTTCTTATAGACAACTTATATTTGGGGCTTACTTTAAAATATAATAATCTAACCTGATAATCCCTGCCTTCTGAATTAGTGTTTTAGACCAGTTACATTTAATGTGATTATTCATGTGATTGGATTTAAGTCTACTGTTTGGCTATTTTTTTTCCATTTGTACCTTCTGATGTTTATTCCTTTCCCCCCACTCTCTTTGCCTCTTTCTGGATTATTTGAACCTTTTTAACAGTTCAGTATCTCCTAGTGGCTCACTAAATATGTCCCTCTTGTTCTTTAGTGGTTGCTCTAGGGCTTATACTACATATCCTTAACTTGTCACACTCTACCTTCAGGCAATATATTATGTAAGTGCATATCCCATCACATAACTATACTTACAACATGACAGGGGGAATTATTTGGCTCTTTTGACACTTGCACTAACAGTGAAAAGAGCATATTAACTTACTGACTGTACTAACTGTCGACCCTCCACTGATGCCATTTTATTATTCTGTGTGACAAAATGGGAAGCACACAAGAGCACTTCCACCACCTCAAACGAAAAGCCCCTGTGGACTGAGCTGCTAGCTGGACTTGACCCTGTCTTCATGAACATCATTTTCACCTGAAAGAACGACTCACGGGCTGTGGCTAATGACACATGGGCATGTGCTCAGTATTTTCTTGAAAATGAACAAAATCAACCTATCGCTTCAGGGAAACAACCAATAGTACTTGTTGCCAATGATAGGATGAGATTTTAGGGGAAAACCCACAAAGGTTTATAAAACTTGTATTCTCTACTATGAGCTTGAAAGCTTCCCAAAACCTCCAGGGTCTCCTGATAAGACTGGTGGGGGTGTCAATCAATTGTATTGTACAATGAAATCTGCCAGCATTTCAAATACCTGTTTAGCCCATGAACAAACATTTTCGAAATGATCAATGTCTGATGCCATAAAAGCACGCTTTGGTTAAAAAAAATCCAAAAAAGTTCAAGATAAACCCATGGGTTTTAATGCAACAGAGTTTTTGTTTTGTTTTGTTTTGTTTTTAAGTTGACTGATGGGGTTTCAGACTGTATACTAAAACTAACCTTTAGAAAAACAACCATTTTGCAAGATTATGGTATGAAAGAAGAATATTCAGTGATAAAAGGGCAACTAAAAACAGTTTTTTGCATTCCAACTATGTGAGACAGTTTTCATATCCATCAACCCCAAACACATACTACAACAGATGGGATGCGGGAACAGTCAGGAGGCTCCAGCTGTCACCAAGAAGCCAGAGATGAAGGATTTGAAAAGTGCCTAACAATGTCACTCTTCTCAGTCAATGTTTTGGAAAATACCTTTTTTTTTTTCACAAAAATATGTTATTTATGTTAACCTGTAGTGGATTCATTATTGTCCTTTTAAACTAATTCACATTTAAATTTGAATGTATAGATATTTAAATTTCTTTTAGTTTTGATTTCATGCAGTTACTATCAATGTGTACAACCCAAATAAACAAAAGCTTTTCGGGGTCCTCTGAAGGGTAACAGAATGTTTGAGAAGCGCATGCCTGGAACACAACACCCTGCAAGTAAGAAGTCCAGGTCTTGTGTCCCTCCCTCCCAGACCCCGTTGTTTCTATGGGATAATGTTACCTGCTTACTCAAAAGTCTCGCCACTATTAAAATGATTAATAGAATTGAGTCCCTAAAGTTTCATGTTGCAATTTTTTCATAAGACTTAAGTTTTTCAATGTTTAGTGAAGCAAAATTCTCTTTTCCTTAAAGCTCTAGAACTCCATTGGGGCTTCAATATGGTGACTATTTTTTTAGCTATAAAATAAAATTATGCGGGAAGCAACAATGTATTGGGTTTCTATTGGGTATAAAAAGCCGTTGGGACATGTTCTTTACTGGATTCAAGGAGACAGAAGTCATTCTGGTTGCCCTGGGCTTATTTTCCATGCTGAGCCCAGGAAGCAGTCAGGTTCTGGGAGGCTTTGCTGGGGGACATTCTCAGGAAGTCCTGCATGCCCCTCCGCAGCTGCGCGTTCTCCGCCACCTCCCGCAGGCTCCTGTGGAGCTTTTCCATCTCCCTGTGTTCACTGCTGACGTCTAGGGAAGAGCAGAGGGCACACATGGCGGGTTAGTGCCTCCAGAGAAGAGATCCCCCAAGAATCCCGTCCTTGTCCCAGAATGGCGGATCTGGAAGGGCACTGGGAAATCAGACAGTGCAGTCTCCGGGTATACACAACCCGGATCGAACCGGGTATTCTCCCTCTGAAGGCCTGTGTCAGCGAGAGTCACCCTGAGAGGAATCAAGAGCCTTACCACCAAACAATGCCACCCACCCCTGGGGGACCCAGAGGGTCCTGGCTAAGCCTGTCCAGGGCGCCAAGTGCCAGCTGGAAGGAGACACAATAAGCCCTCCCCTCCCCTGTCTCCAGGCACCCGCTGGGAGGCCTGTTGTGTGAGGCCTGTGCTCTCTCCCCCTCCATTCCGTCTCCTCCGTAGAATCTCACGTCAACTAGCCCAGGCCACGGTGTCCAGACACGAGGTCAAATCTCAGTCTCCGCGAGACTGTTTGGGATGAGATTGACTGCAAGTCTGAGGACCCTGAGTAAAGCAGCCGCCTCTCCCAATGCGTGTGGGCCTTGACCAGTCAGCAGAAGGCCCAAGAGAACAGTCCCCCCGCAGCCCTGCGGGAGGCGCTCCCCAGCAGACCTCCTGGCCTCCACCTCCACCTCCGATCTGCCTGCCTGTTCTCCAGAGATGGCCTCTGGACTCCACTGCAGCTCTCTCCAGTCGTCAGCCTGTCAGCCTCCCTCCCCATCACCGAGCCTCCAGGATTATGTGAGCCAACTCCTTCAAATAAGCCTCTTTCTACACCTACACGCGGCCTGTGGGTTTGGGTTTTCTGGAGGGCACTGACCCACACAGTCCCCTCTGAAGAGGTGCTTCAGGCCGACCTTGGAGTTGGCTCCGGCCGTGCTCCTGAATGCCTTCCTAGTCCGCTCGGTTCTCCACACCCCAGTTAGGTTCTGACCAGGAGGGGAGTCAGAACCCAAGGCGCTCTCTGGGCCTTAACTAGAGGCCTCCCTCCTGCTGGCTGCTCTCTAGTCCTGCTACTCACCTTCAGGCCTACCCCAGGGCCCAGCTCATTGCAGGCTCCCCAGTGTCCAGCCTGAACCACTGCTGTCTTCTGAGCCACCAGAACAGATGAACCTAGACCTGGCACCCCAGTGGGTCCCTGCCCTTGGGCCTTTACCTAGGGGTCCCGTTCCTGGGGAGACCTTTCTTGACCCCCGTCCCCTGCCCTTAGCATTCCTCCATTTCTCCTGCCTGATTCCCCTGCCATGTATTTCACTCGTTAGCTTGCGTATTGCCTGCCTCTGGCCCACTGAGCTAGAGGTCCATTGAAGGTCATGTCAAGGTCACTACTGTGCCCTCAGCACCTTGGTGCGAACTGGCATCACTTGGTGAATGGATGCAGGCTGTCCTGTCTGCAGATCTCCATTCTCACCAGTCAGGCGAGTCCTGAGAGCTGTCTGGGTATCTTCAGAGCCCTGGCGCCTGCACAGTCTCCCTATACTATGCAGGTTTGTTGTGGATGGTGAAGAGAATGGAGCAGAGTCCAACTAGGCAGGCACGATTTACATCAAACTGTCTGCAAGACCGGACAGTTGGAAGACCTTCTGCCAGTAGGAAACACACTTAGGTGACTATGACCTTAAAACAGACCTGGGCAGAAGGTCCTAGGTGGGTCAGTGTGAGAGTGCTGTTCCTCCTTCCCTGGAAGGTAGGTAAGCACAGGTCAGAGGTTTAGAAGCAGCAGTTGTAACTTCTCTGCCTACTTTCACCCCAGTTATTCAGCAATAGTATCAGATCGATGTTTTTTTTTTTTCCTAGCAAACAGCTGTGCACATGTCTTAAAATGTAAAAGGCACAAAATCTCCACCATTCCCTGTCTTCCTCACTTCTAAGAGGCCATCAATGTCATCAATTTCTTGTGTATCCCACAGAGATTTTTATGCCTATGCAAACATAATTGTATGTATTTCCTTTGCTTCTTTCACAAATTGTCACAAACCACACACATTTTTTTTTAAATTTCTCTCTTTAAAATACATTTGGAGATCATTTCATGTTGCTGAACACCACATAAAGCTGCTTTATTCTTTATAACAGTTGCATGTTCCTCTACTGGTATTGTATCTAATTTAATTTAACCAGTGTCCTATTAATAGATATTTGAGTTGTTCCAATCTGTGGTATTATAAACAATGGCACCCTGAATAAACTTGTCCATATGCCTTATTGCCCATGCAGGAGGATATTGACAGGATGAATTCCTAGAAGAAGGATTGCTGGACCAAGGCATAGCATTTTTAATTTTTTCTAGAAATATCACAGGTGCTTCTCTCTCCAGCTTACTATGGTCTCCAGTGTACACGCGGTAGCCAGGTGGCACACCTGGGAGGCCAAGGAGGTAGTTGTCCACCATGAGCATGCATGGCTGGCCCTGCTTTCCCCAGGTCCCAGGGGGTTGAAAGGAACCTTTCTCCACTACCACCAGACAATGGGGTTTTTCCTAAGGAGGCATCAACTTAAAAGAAAGGCTTTCCGCAGAGAGCAGGGCGACTTTGTGGATGGGAACTCTCCACTTGCCAGCTGTGAAACCTTGGACACATTGTCTGATCCAAGTCTCTAGTTCTGCATCTGCAAAATGGAGCACTAATGTCTATCCCTGAGGGCTAATGGGAGAATTCCACGGACAGTACCCACGAGTCTTGATCAGGTGAGTGGCAAAGGGTCGGCCGATACCAGCATCATCATCTCCATTCCTTGCTCTGGAGATTTCTTTAAACTCAGGATGGAGCATCCACAGCCAGAGGTTTCACATATTTACCTGCAAGCTCCTTGTAGAGACCATCCCCCTGGGACGACACGAGAGTCAGCATGGTGGCAATGCTGCCCTTCACCTTCTCCGTGATCCCATTCTACAGGACAAGGACATTCAGTCTGTTAGACGGGTGTGCTCCAAGGGAAAGCAAATCCTAGAGAGGGAACCTCACCCATCCTTCACCTGGAGAAGGTCCAGACTGGGGTTGCCAAAGTCAGGCCAAGGGTGAAGGACTTTGGAGGGCCGGGGACGCACGTCCATGGGCTCCCTCCAGTCTCTGCATGTCCCTCCCTGCCTATCAAGAGTCACAGGGAGGGTCCCTCTGGTGCTGAGCAACTGAATGAGGAGCTAATGAGGCAAGAGCAGCCACAGGGATGGGAAGGAGGGAGCACACTGGTCACTACCCCACTGTCCTCTCCTGCATTTATTCACTGATAACTGTGAACTGGGCACCTGCTCTGTGCAGGGGCAGGTCTGATTCTTCTCTTCTACAGCCTGAGAAATGTCATTTCTTGCTACTCTCAATCCTTTTATCAACTAAAAGCATTCTCTTTTGTCTCTTGCCTCCTTTTGGAAAACACCAGAGTCCTTTCTCTAATTTGGCGGATTCCAGGCTTGAGCCTGGATCTCCTGACTCATATTTTTCTTCAATGCCAGGCCAGGAGCTCAGCCTTGAGCTGGTGACATAAGCCCTTCTGGCCTCAGCTTCACTGTCTTTAAGATAAGGGAGACGGAGATCCACAGCTCCTAAAACCAAAGTAGCCTCCTCACTGCAGAGTGAAAACAAGTCAGCAACCACACACCTAACACATCAGAGGCTGCTGGGCACCTTCAGCAGAATGTTACTCCATTCTCCAAGTCATAAGAACATTGGGAAGAGATAATTTTTTTAAAAAGACAATAAATCTTCAAACATAAAATATATGTAAGAGGAAATTCCATCCATTACTTAGAATTAAAACATTTTAAACAATTAAAAGCTAACTGATACTCTTGCTGGATGAGGTGGTGGCGCACACCTGTAATCCCAGCAACTCAGGAGTCTGACGAAGGGGAATCACAAGTTCAAAGCCAGCCTCAGCAGCTTAGCGAGGCCTTGTCTCAAAATAAAAAATAAAAAGGGCTGGGGATGTGTCTCAGTGGTTCACCTGGGTTCAATTCTGGGTACTTCCCCCCAAAAAAGTTCAATGATATTCTTAATTTTAGAAAAAGGATCAAGCATGAGAACCTCATTTGGACTTACCTATTTTTAACAACCTATGTTTCCATGAGTTAAGATAACTGTGTACCTGGGTAATATACTGATCACTTTTTATGAGCACTGTTTTCTTAAGCACCTCTGGATCTGATTTCTCCGTACTTGATGGATGGAAATCGGCTCTATGGAGTTCTGTCAATCTCCTGCATGTGTGTGTAGACTGTGAGGATATTCTAATACGCCGGAAATCAAACTGCTGCTGGGAAATGAGACGCTCTTGTCCTCCTCCAAGGGAGGTTCCCTGCTTTTTACTGTGGAGACAGGCACCTCCAGAATTGAATGGGAGAGACACTGGTGGGAATGCTTTACCTGCCTGGCTTCCTCAGGTGATCAGGAGAGAGGATCAGCCAAGCCTGGACTGAGACAGAAGAACTTGGAACCTCTGTGGACAGTGAGGGGCTTGAACTAAGGCGAAGGCATTCTATCACTCAGAGGAAGGGGCAGAGTCAGGACCCAGAGCTGGGTGAGATGGTCCAAGTGTACTTGACAGCAGCACTTAGGCCCCCAAAGACTGTAGGAAACATCTTGCAAGGTGGATGGGCTCAAACCTAAATCTGTGCTAGGTACTGTTATTGGCTGACCAGCGGCCGCATACTGACATTCACTTATTGGCATTTTATGTAGATGGGTCATTTCCCTTGTTTAAAAAATCCGTGTTGAGATTGTACTATTGTTGGAGATGCTGGAGCAGATACCTGGTCCCAAAGTCCAGCTCTGCATCTCACTAATGTGTGGCCTCTTGATTCACCTCTCTGAGCTTGCTGACATTTAGATTGAGAACAATAGTAGTGCTCACTCAGAGACTGGCAGAGCGTGGGTGTGATTAGCTAGTGTCTGTGAAGACTTAGCTCCCATCTAGCTATCAAGGCTGTTGTTCTACGGATGACCCAGGAGGGAGAGGGCTCAGGGGAGAGCTGGAGGGGCTTTGCCAGCACTCAATGGCGGGGCTTCCTCTCCCAGCACTGAAACCCCCAGCTGGGCCCACCAGGCAGAAGGCACCCAGTGGCACCTGGGCCCAATGCCTACTATTTCTTCCACCTTCTGCACTGGCTCCCTCAACTCCCCAGGGGCTAGGACTCCAACTGCGGATGTAGATACCTTCAGCTGCTGAAACTGGTGCTGCATTCTTTCTTGAGCCCTTTCAAACATGCCCTCGGCGACCTGCCGCTCCACTCCTCTTCTGAGGACATCCTTCATCCTCTCACATGCTTTTTTGCCAGTGATCTGAGCCGCCTCTGGAAAAGATGACAGCCATAGTCACACCACAGCTAGGACTTGCCAGGACTCTCTGGCATCAGAAAAATAAGTAAGCAAGAACGCAAAGTGTGTGTGTGCATGCACTTTTGTATGTAGGTATATGTACATACACATATAGATAGGTACACACATGCGCAAACACACACATACATATGTATATAAAATGCATTACATTAAAATATAACATCACTCACTATTTAGAAAACAAATCATTTGGAAAATGTAATAAATGAATTGAGCAGAAGCTTACTAACTGACCCCCAACAAAACAAACCAAGAAGGATCCTGAAAGTGGGCCCACAAACACTTAAAGGAAATTAAGAACAAGAGCCGGATACCAAGCAGCAGCGTGGAGAGTAGGGGGGGTTCCAGACAAGGGGAGGACAGAGGAACTGGGAACCACGGGGACAAAGGTCCCCGATCACCTCCCCCTGCACCCTGCAGTTATCTGATCTCCACGTGTAGCTGGAAAGTGTTACAGGACTTAGGATGCAGGAAGACTGCTCCAAGGACAGGGAGCCCCGGGACAGGATGCCAAAGGAGTGACAGGAAGACCCGAAAGGAAGAGGAAGCACTGTCCTCTGGAGCCCCACCTTCATAATAGGGCTTCAGGTCGTTCTGAATGGAGCTGGAGACAGACTCGTAGATCCTCCTCTTCCTTCTGAGGATGTGGCCTTCCAGGCCTCCCAGGATGGCGCTTATCTGAGAAGCCACGTGACACAGGCCTTCGGTGACATTTCTCTGGCAGAGGCAGGTCAGGTGTGCCCAGGTGTGGCCACACTTTCCCCTGCCTCTGTTCTGGTTGGCTGTGAGCTCCTCTAGACAGAACTCTGGCTCAAGCCTCTGAACGCCCCAGAGTGCTCCCACAGCGCCCAGTCCCTACAAACTACTCAGAAGTAGGTGCTGAGTTCGACCCAGGCATGGACAGGGTCCTAGCAGGGGCCAGAGGTATCAGCTATCTCCCTACTCTCGCCATGTGATCTGGACTGGTCCTGGAAGAAAGTGAGTCACAGACAGAGTCCTGAGTTCTCAAAACTAACAAGAGACCTGCAAAAACGTGACCGAGGTCTTTAAGCTTTGCTGCTTTGGATGCTACTTCATGGTACCGGCAAAAACGATAGAATTAGTGACAATATTACAAGGTGAGGCACATTGTTGTACCTCTAAGGACGCTTTGAAGGCTCTTCCTGGAAGCTGAGTCAACCCTACCACCTCAGCCTGCACCTCAGATGCCACACTGTGGGACAAAGCGTGCCGGTGTCTTACAACCTCCCTGGAGGTCCCAGGAGCCCTTATGTTTCCTAGGCCATCGCACCTCCTAGGAGGCACATCCAGACCCTGGACACTCCAGGGGTCCAAGTGCTGGAGAGACCGGCAGCCTTCAGCTCCTGCCAGGGAAGAAAGCCACTACCCACACTCACTGTGCTCTTCACTCTATAAGGAACTTACCTCCTGGATCAGGAAACGTTTTTTGTAGCTATCACACTTCCAGCCACTTCTTATCCCAATTTCTGCCATTTTCTCCTGCAGAGAATGCTTGAAAGCATCGATGTGAGGCATCAGCGCCGAATCGGCAGGCTTCCCAGCCCTACAAGAAAGCAAGACGGGCGTGAAACTGGCTGACGTCCTTTTATTCACTTTAAAGAGAAGAGAGAGGAAATCTGACAATGACCAAATTGCTATGATGTGCCAGGCGCTGTCCTGGGCCAGGCCTTTGGCCTAAAAACCAAGAAGGCAGTGTTAGGGTGCCGTGTACTGATGAGAAAATCAGGGCTCAGAGAAGGTGGCTGATATGTCTAAGGTCACACAGCGAGTAGGAGCAGAACCAGGCTTTGAACACTGCTTTAACCTCAAAACTCACTGTCCTCCTGTGACGAAGTGCTTTCACTTGAAAGAATCGGACTTGAACTACACTTTCAAAGACAGGTAAGATTTGGGGAAGAAAATGAAAGGGAAGTATTTCCCAGGGGACAATATTTCAGAATGTTCCAGGTGTAAGAAGCAGCAGATTATAGAGCACTCAGAGAGCATGGGCTTTAAACCCTAGCTCTCTACTCATGAATGGGGGCCCACTGCAGTTAGTCCTTCTGAATCTCCCTTTGTTCCTCTGTTAAGAGGCAGAAGCCCCGTGGTGGTGTTATCCAGCACATTTGATGAGATAATGCATGCGAATGCTTGGCACCGTGCCTGGGGCCTCTCAGTGGCTCTCAGCTTCCCCCATGTTGGCTCCAGCAGAGGGCTGGCACCAGGCAGCAGGGCAGTGCTAGGTCGGAAGGGCAAGTTGAAGGCTTAATGGCTCAATGCCATCCTAAGGAATTTGGAGACTCCTACAGAGCTGTCACCCGGGGCAGGATGGGGAACGTGGACTGGCATGATCCAAGAAGTGTTTACAGAAAGGTAGGGGCAGGGGCATGGGCACAGAGGAGGTCAGCAAAGGTAGGAGAAGGGTGGTGAACCAGGTGCAATTCGGAGAAGAATGAGGGAGACTGCTTCCCTGGGGGCTAGGAGAAGCTTTGTCTTTGGTAGGTCCACCCCCGGCCGCAGCTCATGCCATGTCTGTGAGCACACAACCTGTCTGAGACTCCATGAGCCACTTTTTCTTTTTGCATTCAGGGAAGGTTCGAAGGCCATGTGTTTGCTTAATTCCACGCTCTCCAATCAAAATACCCTGTCCTGGGCTCAGATCCCTAAGAAAACCATCCCCGCTGCATGTAGGAGAGACTTGAAAAATAATGGGAAACATAATATTAGTCTGAAAGCAACATCTCACTCCACCCCAGGTCACCAGGGGAGATGGTTAAGTCAACCAAACCAAGATCGCTTTTGTGTTTTGCCAAAGACGGAGCAGAGCGGCCCTCAAATCACAGTCCACTCTTTACTCTTCCAGATCCAGAGTCTCAATTCTTAAAACTGAGACTCTGGCTTGACGTTCTTCAGATTTTTATTCATGCAGGAGCAAGGTGAAAGACCATTTACCTAAAAATGCCTCCAAAAACAGGGTCAATCTGGTCATAGATGGGCTGAGTGACGGCTTGGTTCAGGTCGATTCTTGCCAGAGTCCTAGAGGCATAGATGCCATTCTTCAGGCAAACAGCTTTCAGGGTCTGGTGAAAACCTTGGTTCCCTTTGCTCCTCTAGAAAATTAAACGATGAATTAGCAGAGTCAGTTGGCATGAACTAGAAAATCGCAGAATCAGAACTGCATTGCCTCTGGCTAACGGTCATTACCAAGAACCACAGGAAGGAGTAGAAACACGGTCTTTAAACATGTCATCAAGCCAGACCGGGAGGACCCAGATCATACCTCCAGCAACGTGCCCTGGCCTCACTGGGACCACAACCCTCCCTTACAGCTCTTTATCTGGCAAGCCTCGTGGCTGGGCTCCTAGACCATCTGCTTGTGAGTGTCAGGAACAGTGTCTCACCCGTCTTCATGTCCTCCAAGCCTGCACTGACTTAGCTGGTACTTAATAAGTGTTTGTTAAATGAATGAAAAAAACGTGTTGTGACCCGAGAGTGGGTATGTGTCTTGGATTTCCTGAGGATAGTCCAAAGTTGGTATATTTTTTATTAAATAATTTATTAAACACTATTTGATTTGCATAACTTGGTGATATTTTCCCCAGGGAAACAAATTGACAAATGAGAGAAAAATTATAATAGTTAGAGCTATGAGCTAATCAAGTTTAGCCAGATAGTGATAAATAATAAGGAGAAAAGAAATGTTTGCTAAGATTGTGGTGGAGGGCCTTATCTTTAATCGATGATATGTGTTTGGAGGGAATATGTTTTAAGTGAAAGGCTGTATAGCATGATACAATTGTATAATATTCTCTCTCTACTTAATAACTAAAACATGAGCACACTCCAAAATTATTTTAAATGCATTCCAAAATCATTTTATTAAACCATATACTATCATGCAGACAAAGAATAATTCATTTTATCTTTCTCTAATTTTTAGACATTCAGGCTATTTCACTATGCTAAGTAAAATATCACGTTAGTATATAGTTGACTGCTCAAATTTCTGGGCACGAAAGCACATTGTTATCAAAGAGGAGCCCCTTGGGCAGGCCTGGGGTCAGAGAAAGCAGTCACTAAAGCAGCAGTGAGACAGGGGATGGTCCCTGGGAGGCCTGGAGATGGTTGGTGCCCCTCTCCTTCTCAGAGTGCCTCTCCTTTGTGCCTCATCTTCTGGGCACACTCTTGATCATCCACTCTGAGATCTGGATTCTTCCATCACCAGATGGAACCACTTCTCTCCCTGTAACTTAGCTATCTATTGCTGCAGGACGAAAACTACCTCAAAGAGTAGCTTAAAATAATAGTAAATGTTTATTATGGTTCTATGGGTCAGGATTTGGGATGCCGTGGCTGGCCACTCCTGGCTAGGGCTTCCCATGAGGGTCATCGGGGCTGGAGGATTTGCTCCCGAGGAGCACAGCTGGCAAGTCAGTGCTGGCTCTCAGCCCCGGGTAGAAGGCCTCAGCACATTGCTCCCTGGGCCCCTCCACACAGTGACTTGACTTTGGCACATGGAGGCTGGCCTCCCCTGAGCAAGTGATCCCAGAGGTCTCCAAAGGAGCTTCAGTGGCCATTGATAACCTAGCTCAGAAGTCACACATGGCATCTCTGCAGCATTCTCCTGGTCATAGAGACCAGCCTGCATCAAGGCGTGGGAGGAAAATCCACAAGGGGGGACAGCAGGAAGTGAGGACCTTTGGGTGCCATCTTGGAGGCTGTCTACTCCATGGTCAACACTGAATACCCTCAGTGTCCAATCCAGTGACCTTTCTTCATCCTAATTTTCCTTGATCCCTGGGAATATCTGATTTCCTTCTTAACAAGCTTTCCTACCTTGCTTTTCTTATTGGAAAATGAGGAATTTAAGTTACAGTTAGATCGATTCATCTGCAGGCTCCCAAAATGTGTCCTCCCGTGAACGTCCACCCTTCCCCTCCATTGCTCTGTCTATGGAAGTACCACTGATCTTTCAGGGATATTTCAGTCTAAGGTTGGAAAACCAATATCCTCATGAGGATGTAGGCCACAGGAGTGGTTGTGAGGGTTTACTAGGATAGTGTGCAGTGTCTGGTCCGGAGTGAGCCTTTTCCTCGTGTTTGCTGAATGAATGACCACACGCACACTACACCCCCAGCCAGGTGGGAGGCACCCCGCCCTCATTCTCCACCATCCAAGCCCTGGAGGCCTCCCTGCTGGCCCCAGGATCATCCGATTGAATTCACTTTCTCGCTCTTTGTTTCACACTAAAAGCATCTCCTGCTTTCTTGCATCCCCCTTGCAGCACATATTCTTACTGATCTGGATATCAAAACAGACTTTTACACGAAACACACAGGAAATAACACGTGGAGAGCAAGTATCACCAAGAGTGCGAAAAGGCTTACTGAAATGGAAGAGCCCCTCACACACCTTTTCAGGTATTTCTCACTGCTGACGTTCCCACTTTCCATCTCATTCAGAACAGCTACAACATGCCATCTGTGCCCTGCTCCTGGCCCTAGAGCCATCCTTGTGATTCTTGCCACATGGGCAGTGTCATTCATTACCCCTTACTCTTAGTGGGTGCCGTGGACTGAATTGCTCCTCTGGAAGTTCACGTATTGCAGTCCTAGTCTCTGATGTGACTATATTTGGAGACAGGGCCTTTCAGGTAGAGGCTAAAAATAAGCGAGGTCACAAGGGGTAGGGCCCCCAGTCAGTAGGACTGGTGTCCTCATAGGAAGGAAACACCAGCAGGGTGCGCAGAGAGGAAAGACCAGGCAAGGACACAGTGAGAAAGTGGTCGTCTAGGAGCAAGGAGAGGCCCTGGGAGAAACAAACCCAGCCAACTCCTGGATCTTGGACTTCCAGCCTCCCAGTCTAAGGAAGTCTGTTGTTGAGCTGTGCAGTCTGTGGTGTTTTGTTATGGCAGCCCAAGCAGACTACACAATGGGCCTCTTTCACCTCCTAGTCTCGGATAAACACTACCTTAGGCTTGTATTTTCCCTTAGGAACCCCAAACTGCTAGTTACGAAAGAAAACCACAATTTACACACAAGTAAGAGGTTACAAGATACTTTCTTCTTGTGTAATGTAATTGACTCTGACATCAATAGCTCAAGATAAGTAGGGCAAGCTCTTAGCATCCAGTTCTACAGAAGAAAAGAGTGAGAGGCTTTTTATGAACGTAAGGTCTTAAGTGGTTGGGCACCTTGCTCAGGTCTGGGTAGTAGATGTTTGGTGGAGGTGGCACTCAAAGCAAGATCCTTAGACCCTAAATTCCAACCCTGCCCCTGCTGAACCACAAACGTGCCCTGGTGCCCACATGCCCAGGCGAGCAGCCCCGCTCTGTGCTGGTGTACCTGCAATTTTCAATCTCTCTGACTCTCTTCTATCTCCTTGTTTCTTTTAAAAGCAAGGGGGTGATGTGAAAAGAGCTTGGGGATCAGGTTGATCTCGCAGGTAGCACAGGATTTCTGTGGAAAGGGTCACTCACCACCAGGCATGCCCCGAGGATGCGTCGGTAGGAAGTCCTGGCCACCCGGACCCCTTCTTGCAGAGGCCGCTCGATGTGGGCAAAGCACTGCTCAATGGCCCTCTCCAGCAGCTCTGTCCTCTCTTCCACAAATCTCCGCAGGCTGCTCAAGTGCAAATGTTCATTCTAGGGGCGAGGTCACAAGGAGCATCAGGCCAGCTACCAACACAAGATTAAGTTTGAGATCATTGCCTGGAGGTGACTTCCCCTTGCTGTCCCCAGAAGGCACCCCCTCAGTGCACAGACCTCCTTAGGCTCTGTGGGATTGGAGAGCAGAACAACAGATGCCCACTGAAGCTTATTTTGGGTGTAAAATTCACCAGGCTATTTGGGGAAGTCATTATCCAAATAGCAATCCAACTGTTACTAAAACAGATTTTTCCAATGGCATCTGACTTAACAAACATTGAATGGGCTTTCACAAAGCAGTTTTGAGAAGAGTATTTCTCTAGTGTTAATGTGTCTACAATCATTGGGGAATCATGAAATCCAAGGGTCTGGGATTCTGCATTCTAGCCAGCTCTCAGGTGAGCTGATCTTCTGGGTCCTTGAGACACTTTGAACAGCAAAGCTACAGGACCGTGGAAATAAAGTCATGGTTCCTTCTCCACAGAAGAGTGCAGTCTAGTCAGGGACAAAAATATGTAGCCACACATGCTTGACAATGGTTTGGTCAATGACGGAGGGCATACATGACAGTGGGCTAAGATTCTAGGACAGCCCAGGTGTGCAGGGTCTGCACCATCTAGGTGAGTACCCCTACACATTCACACAATGATGACATTGGCTAAGCATACCTGTCTCAGAGAGTATCCCTATCAGAAAGTAATGCCCACAAGGGCGTGACCACAAAGGCCAGCCTTGACTTTGGTTCTAAACTGGAACTCGTCCTATTGAGAACCTTGGTGCACTCCACAGTGCCTGCAGCAGGTGGAAGCCCCACTCCCTGGCTTGGCACTTCTGCACAGTGGGCACTCAGCAAACCCCTCCAGCACCACTGTCTTGTTTGCCTGACACATCTCCCCAGGTTCCCAGGTCCCTGTCCCTGGCTTGCTACCATTCACCCCACACACTGTCCCTCTTAGCCCTGTGCCCTTATACAAGAAATTCCCCTTTCTCATTCTTCAAGACAAGGCTCCAGTGTCACCTCCCTTATGATGCTTCCACTGCCCACCCCCCATCAGGGTTGGGCCCCTTCTGAGCTGCCCTCATGTTTGGTACCCTGCTGTGTGATGGCATGTCTCCCTCACCCCACCTGACTCCTTCCTGGACTAGGCACTAGCTGAAGGGACAGACTCTCATTGGTGTTTGTTTAATCCAGGGCATGGCATGGGGGGCACGATCCATGAACGTGTGCACAGTGAACCAGAGATATGGAGAAGATGCTAGATAATGCAGGATTTAAATTCTATTCCAAACAGATGGAAATAGCTGTGGGGTGGATGTGCGACCTCACACAGATGGCTGACTCCCCTGCCTGTCAACAGCATCATCTTCAGAGCAAGTGAACCAAGCTGGCTGATGGTGGAAACAGCCTCTCACTCCACAGCTTGAGGGCGCAGGCTGTAGACCTCCCAGTGCACCTGGGGATTCTCCTAGACTTAACTAGTGAGGATTCAGTAAGCCATAACTTTTTTTTCCTGGATATCCTTTATGTTCTTAAGAATTTGTGGGGTTGCTGGTGATCAAAATGAAGTAAGAGGTCATGGAAAGAAAGCCTCGCATCTCACCATAAATCCCCACTGATTAAGCATAAGAAGGGAAAGAGAGGGAAGAGCTGGGTGTGAGAGAACAGTAACAAGGGGGGAAGCCTGGCATTTGGTGTGAATAAATTCAGGGCTCATGAGACAGGGAGGCCTCATAATCAACTTCCTATTGATTTTTAGAAGCAATGATGGCTCATTTAAAAGCACTAACTACCCAACTCTAAACTTTGGGTTTGGATCACAAACTTGAAGAAATCATCAATTATGTACATTTTTAGACTTGACTTTTCAGAAGTCAAAGGCACTGACAAAGCTCTTGCCTTCCAACTTTCCATCAAAGAATCAACACCAAGATCAACGTCAGAGGCCCAGGAATTTTGAGGAAAGCTGCCGGCCTCTCCGTGAGGAGGCCATCACAGAGGCCAAGCAGCCTCGCCCCCCTGTGTCTTCCATGGCCTGGCTCTGGCCATAGAGATGGGCGTGAGCCCCTAGGCAGCTGCACCTGAGTTAGCAGAGAACACGTGGGCAGGGCACTTGCAGGTTTGACTGTAAAATGCCCTGTCCTGCATTTACAAATAAACCAACCACACACAGCACCATAGCTGATTTGTTTTCCATCAGCACTTCCAAGAGCAATCTTGTGCTGGGCAGAGAGGCAGCTGTCACCCTGAAGAACTTTCCAGAAAGATGGAAGGTAAAACCCTTCCTCAACTATTTCAGAGCATAAATGTCAAATTAGAAAATCTCAGATTTCGGGAGTTGTGCTTTTGTCTCACACAGCTAGGCCAAAACAAAGCACACCATGTTCGATGAAAGAGACAGCGAATGCTGCCCCGTGTGCCGCTGTTTATCCAGCTCTTTTCCAGTGCAGGCCTGTGGCCAGACTGCAAAGCTCTCCAGCTGGCATCGCTTATATCCCACGGAAGTGGGTCTCCAGGACCCACCCCTCCTGGCAGCCGCAGCTCATCCCAGACTGGCTTTGCCTGCTCCAGGACCAGCCCCTTGACCTCTCACAGGACCTTTCTTGGCCCTTCCCAGTTCGGGCACAGCAAGAAGTCAGACACCTTGATTATGCAGACCTGACAGGTGAGAGCAAGGTGGAATAAATAAGGACCAACCAAGTGGGAAAGGCCATGGCTGCTTACTCCCCTGGCTGAGGGAGGGGGCAGCTCCAGGCCTTGGATTTGGCAGAGACCCCGAGGCAGGCCAAGGGGAGGGAGAGCTTGATGGTGGAGGAGAGGGAAGGCTGCGGGTGTGCCCTCGGCGGAGGCTGTTGGCCTAGGAGGCGGGAGGCCTGACATCCATGTGATTGCTTAGGGTCTCACTGGCTTTCTCTAGCTGGCCCTAAGTTGCAAGCAGGGATAAGGATTAGAGGAGCTTTTGATCAAGTAGTGGCCTTTAGGCACTGACTGTGACAGTCAGTGTGTGGCTTCCTGGCTCACTGCTAGAGCTGGCAGTGTGACCTCCTGTAAGTCTGACTTAGTGTACAAGACCAGCTTCCTGGCCTGGTTATTATAGTGGCCGGCTGGGCAGCTTCTGCAGGGTGTGGGGTGCAGTCATTTTTATATATGGTCTGCTGTTGTCTGTGTATTCAGTCTCTTATAAAGAAACAAAGTGGTTGCTTTGATTGATTAAAGGAAGGGATTGTTTTCCATCTATAACTCTCCCAAGCCTCTAATTTAGTAGCTTATCCCTCTCATGTTAGGGTTTTTAAAAAGTCATCCATCAGAGAGATAAATTTGTTGCCATGAGAAATGTAACTTTTCTCTGGCCATTCAAAGGCCTTGCATTCTAGACGGGGAAGATAAATGCCTGAACTTTGCTGAAACCCACGGACAGATGCGTTGTGTTTGGGCTCTGTGTACAGACGTGGCTCTCCAAGATAGCCAAGAGTCATCTGCATTCCATGGAAGTCTCCCTCTCCATCCCGCACAGACTCCTCCATCCTGCTTGGGTCTTGGGAGAAGTGGAAAGCTACCACAGACTGCTTTTACATTTTCCGCTCGGCCCATCTGTCCATTTTATCCAAATATTAGGGTTAGAACCCTTTCATTATCTTTTTGTCCCCTTAGATTCTCTGGGCTTTGTCTCTTCCTCATCATAGTTTTCTAATAGGCAAAGGGAATGTTCTGCCCAGGTGGAGGGAGAGAACGGACGGCCCAGGCGACTTCCATACCGGCAGGTTTTCTGTGGAGTTGAAGCTGTCTGTGAGGAGCAGTAGGCCAAAGGCTTCGGTAACATACTTGGTCACCATCCTCCTCTTCTCGTCCAAGAGCCTTTTCCTGATGTATTCTCTTAACTTGGGGATTTCTGGAATTACAGACGGCACAGACAATTTTAAAAGGCCAAGTTTGCATGGAACAGAATTCACACACATGGAAAGATCAGTTGGCCCTTGCAGCTGGCTGCCTCCTCAACCAGTTTTCTGAAAGACATTTTTTCTCGTCTGGGATCAACAACAGTGAAAGGTGACTCAGCCATGGTGAATATTAATTTGGTTTAGCTATTCAAAATAAAATTCATAGAAAAGTACAGACTGGCTATAAACAGAATGGGCATTTTTCTTTGGGTTGGCATTCATTGCAGAGTTGAAGGAAGGGCGCTTAACTCTGTGGTTCTCCTAGGTTTTTCTACCTAAGCCAGGTGACCCTTAACATCAGAACACCCAAGCTTGCTGTAGCAAGCAACAAGAACCTCCGACGTGTGGGATTTTAGGCAGAACATGTCTTTGTCCTAACCCTCTGTTAGGGTGTGTGTGTGTGTGTGTGTGTGTGTGTGTGTGTGTGTGTATTAATAGATACAGAACTGGAAAGCTGGAGAAAATTTTTCCTGTGGCACAGAAATTTCTAGAACAGGTTATTCAGAGTGCCAAACTTAGTCTTAAGAATTTTAGTGATGGGATAAGGAATATAAATTACCAGTTTCCTCCTCGGTGAGGAGGGTCTTCTGCCAGTACTCCTGGGCGCTGACTGTGTACACCAGATCCGAGGTTTCCAGAGCCTTGGAGTCCGCCGGCAGTTTTCTCTGAAGTGAGAGGCACACAGGAAACAGAGTAAGTCACCGTGGCATAGGAAATGCGGCACAGCCCTCCCGAGAGCCTTTGGCAAGTTTCAGCTCACCCACCTTCAGTTCTGTCAGAGCCCTGGAAGGGACAAGCCCTATCCTAAATGTCCTGTGTTGCCAGCGTCCACTCCTCAGGTCAGAGGTTGTGAGGAATTCACTGCATTGGAGCTAACCCCTTGGGAGTTAAAAATATCAACTCTTGTGGGCTGGGAAAGCACTTGCCTAGCATGTGTGAGACACTGGGTTCGATCCTCAGCACCACATAAAAAATACATTAATTAAATAAAGGTATTGTGTCCACCACAACTAAACATTGTTTTAAAAAATTAATTCTCAAAGGAGATGTACACAGAAAATGGTTCAAAAGTGTATGTGAGTGTTCAGAGGGGGGAAAATACTAGGATCCTTTTTGGAAAAAGAAGCCTGGGGAACACAGGGCTGGGAATGTGGCTCAGTGGTGGAGCATGTGCTGAAACTGTAAGAAGCCCTGGGTTCCATTCCCAGCCATCACCCCATCCATCCATCAATCAATAAGTGAGTAAAAAGCCCACCACTGGCAGCGGCCGACTGGCACGTGGATTCCCAACTCTGCTTCAGCAATAGCACATTGGTAGCTTGGTATTGGCAATGGCAAGAGGCTTTACACCATAGAAATTGGCAAATGGAACAAATCAGAGTTTTTGCATGTTTTGCTAGCTGTTGTTTGAACACAGAGCTGATTTTTAAACATTTCCCAGTACAACACTAAAAAGTGAAAGTTTCTTATCCAGGTGGTTAGTGAATAATCATATAAAATAATCATTTTAATATAGAGTAATGTTTAAGTATACATGATGGTTTTAAATGTCAAGGAATTAAGAATTATGTGAGAAAAAATTTATCATTAGCAAAATATCATCACCAGAAGTCACACTAGAATCACATGTAAATTTTGTTCCATAATCTTCCATTCTTCTTATTTGAAAGAAAAAAGTAGAAGGTGTGCATGGGTACCTGGGAGAGGTGGAGGATGGGACAGCTGTCAGTCTCTTTCTGATATAAAGGTATGACAGCACTGAGTGGAGGTGCTCTGGTCCTCTGGGACTGGTGAGAAGCCAAACCTCTGGCAACTTTAAAACACACTGGTAACACGTTTCGCCAAACCCCCCCGTGTTGTGGGTTGAATCCTGGCCTCCCAAAATTTATATATTAAGGTCCTACATTACCAGTACCTTGAAATTCACCTTTTAAGGAAACCGAGTCATTGCAGATGAAATTAATGGAGATGTGGTCCCACTGGAGTGGGGTGAGCTCCTAACCCAATAAAACTAGTATCCTTACAAGAAGAGGAAATCTGGCTACAGATGTACATCAGTCACACACTGGGAGTCCATGTGACAGCTGAAGTTGTGCCACCCCAAGGCAAGGAACCACCAGAAGCTGGGAGACAGGCCTGGCACAGACTCACCCTTGGGCCTTCAGGGAGCACAGCCCTGCCAATCCCTTGATTTTGGATTTCTGACTTCCAGAACTGTGAGAGAACAAACTTCTGTTGTCCCAAGTCACACATTTTATGGTACTTTGTTATTGCAGCCCTAGCAACTGACACATTACACACGCGTCACTATACTTGGTCACAGCTATACCTATCACCCTCCCTCCAATGAGCTGGGCATGTTGTTGGTGCGACTCTATTTATATGCTATTTAAAATGTCTTCAAGGAGATTATATTAGAATTCAGCATTGAAATGTATTTACAATGAAGGCCTGGGAACAGAAAAGTGAAGACTACACTTGATACTAGTGAAAAATACACCGCTGGTTCGTGAACTACACCTTGATTCCAAGTTTTCTTGCAGGCAACACTAGCACCTCCTAAGACCTAGGAAAGGGAGACACCTCATGTGAATGAAGCCAGGTTATGTTTTGGTACTGAGATAGGTGAAAAGTGACTACTGCCTGTCACACACCCAGCCAAAAAATTTTTAAGACCAAAATTAGGAGGAGGCAGGTCAATGGCCTGAGAAAAAATCCCAGAGACCCACAGTAGAGTGTTCTTAAAAGAAATGCAGCATCCCTAGTGCTCCTGAGGGTATAAAGGATGAGGAGGAGGGTTTAGAGGGGAAAGAACTTGGAGTTAAGACTTGACCTAGATGAGTTGGACTCTTAATGAAAAAGTGGTGAAAAAAAATACCTTAACCAATATATTTTACTGTTTTTTGTTTTGTGTTGGGTACTGGTGAGCTAGTATTCAGCTTTTTAAAATTTTTTACTTTGAGACAGAATCTCACTATGTTACTTAGGGCCTTGCTAAGTTTCCAAGGCTGGTCTTGACTTGCCATCCTCCTATCTCAGCCGCCGGAGTCACTGGGATTACAAGTGTGTGTCCCTGCACCTGGCTGTTTTCATTATATTTAGTGCACAAGAGTAAAAATTATCTTTAAAAATCATGTTAAAGAATTAATATTGCTCTTTTGATAACATAAAATAAAAATCTAATAACAAAGCATTATATCATAATTCATTGCATTTTTTTTCTTTTCTAAAAATATAAAACAATGGTATGCCTTAAAACTGATAATGTCTTAGAATTTTTTTTGGAACATGAATATTTGCTTCCCAGGAGGCTATGAGGAAGCTTGCAGCCTGAGAAGGTGTAAAAATAATTATAAAGGTGATAATGAAATGAGTCAAACCCGTTGTATAAGTTATTTTATGTTGAGCTTTAGAAATGCTTTACAAATACAATGATCTGTGTATATTGCACCTGCTTTTAAAGGTATTTGAAGGACAAAAGCTTGTGCTTACAGTTTACAGTGTTTTCAGAAATATAATTTGATATAAACATGGTATAATTTTATAAAGAATTCAAATCTATCCACCTCTATATGCTGACGGAGCATTAATCAAAGTAAGAATTTTAGCACAAAAAAATCGAGTAAGATCTGTAAGGTGAGCTTAAAGGCTCCTGATTATTTTGACAGTTTTATGTAAATGATTTCAATCAGGCAACCTGTCATTTATGCACAACATACTATGAGCTGAATGAACCAGGGAATGACCAGTTTTGTTCGCATTGCAGGAGTAACTGCAGGAGTGGCTTGTGATGCTGGGACCTGAAATGCCCTCTTACAGGCAAGGGGGCCCCTTTCTGCTCTCCCCAGCACAGTGTTTCCTCCACAGTGAGCTACTCTGGCAGGTAGTTGCACTTGCCTAATGGAGATCCCTGGTCCGCGATTGTTCTGAGTGTGCCCAGGAAGTCTCTGTGTGCACGGGGTCCTCTCAGAGCCAGCCACAGGCCAGGGAGGCACAGGGCACATGCTGTGAGGCCATCAGGACTGGCCTCCACACACTCCTCATCGCACACATTAGGAAAGGCCGTCTTCCGGACTTTGCTTGGATCTCTAAAACTTTCAAATGTCAAATCTAATGATGGTTCTCTCCTGGAGTCTAGGAAATTCCACAGGTCCACTGTGGGGGGATAAGGGAAAGTTTTTCCTAGGTTTATCTGGTAAAAAGACAGTGTTAAATCCTATATTTTTCTTTTTTTAAAATGCTAATATTATTTTTTTCCTAGTAAATTTAAATTTCTATTTCAAATGTTTACTAGAGAACAGACTTTCTTGATAAAATGAAGCAGATCATTTTGGATGCTTTGGACTGAACATTTGTATTTGCTAAAATCCATACATCAAATCCTAGCCCCAAGGGGATGGTTTCAGAGGAGGCCTTTGTGAAGTGATTAGGTTGTGGGGTGGAGCCCTCTGGAATGGGATTAGTGCCCTCATAAAAGAGGCCCCAGGGGGCCTCTGCATGCTTTCCACTGTGAGAGGACACAGCCAGACACCAAATGTGCCAGCCCCTTGATCTTGGACTTCCCAGTCTCTGTGAGAAATGCGCGCGCCTCTGTGGTTGTGAATCATCTACTCCATGGTGTCTGTCAGAGCGGCCCAAATGGACTAAGGAATATGTGAGTCTCAAAAGGTTTGGAGAAAGGGTGTGAGAGCAGATCACCTTCCATCTAGCACCAGAGCGAGTACCGCTCTGAATAGCAGGAGGGGAAATGTGTGTAGAACATTGTGTGTGTATGTGTGTGTGTGTGTGTGTGTGTGTGAGAGAGAGAGAGAGAGAGAGAGAGAGAGAGATTTCCCTCTCCTTTTCTCTTGGCTGCCCAGCTTCTGGAACCAGGAGCTGGCACAGCCCACAGCAATCCAGCTTCAGATCCGAGCATGAGGAATGCTCATGACCTTGTAACTTGCAGCCAGTGAGGGATTTTTAGTCCCTGTCTAAGACTTGGAAACTTGAGCCCTTCCCTTCCTCACTCTCTTCTTCCCCCCTCCTCACCTCACTGGCCCTCTTCTGATGCCTTCAGACCCCCATTTGATCTACAAGCTCTTTCCTTACTGTTTATAATTTTCATTTTTATAATTTAAAAAATATTGACCTATAGCTACATGAATGACTGCCTTGTAGTCAGCCCACTTCTTCCTCATATTTTCTTCCTCATATTTCCTATGATTAAGATTAAATTTGCTCCAAGTGAAGGCATGCAGTACAAGCAAAAGCTTCACAATTGTTCAAACAAACATCGTGGCTGGAGTCAGGCGCAGTGGTGCACACCTGTGATCCCAGCAAAGGGAGGCTGAGGCAGAAGAATCTCAAGTTCAAGGCCAGCTTGGGCAACTTAACAGGACCTTCTCTCAGAGTAAAATAAAAAGGCCTGGAGGTGTAGCTCAGTGGTAGAGCACTGGCCTAGTATGTATAAGGCCCTGGGTTCAATCCCTAGTAATAAAAAAAAAGAAAAAAAGGAACTGTGGTTGGAAAATTCAGGCTTTACCTGGCCACCCAAGACGTGGGTTGCGCACCTAAACTTGCATCCCTCAACAAGAAATGTAGCTTCCCCAGGAGCCAAGCACTGCTGCACAGACCTTCACTCCTGCACACTGAGTGGCCATGTTTATTAGCAAAGAACTGTTAGGAACTGTGCCTTGAAGTATTTTATATTTCCAGTTTCAGAAATAATATGATTAGATCCCCATAAAATGGGTATTTCTTTAATGCCAACAAGACCAGAAGATTAAGAACAGCTTTGCTGAGTTATCACCTCATGAAGGCTGGCATTTGATTGCTTGGCAGAAGGCTTTGGCTCAAATATGTGGCCTTATCATCCTGAACCAGAAACAAAAGCTCTGAGTTTCTTAAGTCCACGTAGTACAGGCAACATTTCCTGCCTCAATGGCATTGAAGTCACAATGCAGAAAGCTATTGAATACAGAGATATTGACAGCGGTCAAACATTTTACTGTTACGGGCCAGGCTATATGGGCAATAACCAAACAGATTCCGTTTTACCCTGAAACTCCACATCATGCAAGAAATGCTTCTCCCAGGAAAAACCCCTCCTCTGTATCCATCAACAGTTGCTAAGCATAGCATGTTTGTCAACACAAAATGACTATTCTTATACAATGTAAAAGTGTTCCCTCTTTGGTTCCCGTTTTTCTTGGACAATGTACCCTGTCAGAGATTGATTGTCTAGATGTTAGTAACCATTTTTTAACTTGTACACAACTAGGGATGTTTTGGTCCACTCTCTTTTCTGCTTATGATTTTAGACCTCATGATGTTTGTTTATGGTTTTGAATTCTAGCAACAGCCACTGACGCTTTAATATGATTTTGGACCTATTCTGGCAGGTTTACTGTGGTTTTTGTACATTTCATCTGAAAATTAGTTTAAGTTTTATAGCTGTCTGAGACTGCTATAATAAGAAGTTTTGTGTTTACAGCATTTTAGTGACAACAGAGCAAAAATAAAAGGTGTACTCAAACCCTGAAAGGGGGTCAAAGGGTATAGACTTGCAGCCTACCCCTTGGCCTGCCAGCTGGTGGATCTGGACCACCAACTGGTGAATAAAGTTTCCTTCTCCTGCTTTAAGATGGACTTGGTGATTTATTGCAATCTCACCTTAACATTACCACTGAGCCTAGAACTGAAGATTTGGTTCTGGCAAATCCATATCATCTGACATAGTTTATGGTGTTTTGTTTTTTTTTTAAATTGGTTTCAGTTTTATAGCTGAGACTGCATAATAAGAAGTTTTATGTTTACATAATTTTAGTGACAAAATAGCAAAAATAAATTAAGAAATCACAGAGTCCACAGAATGATTTTTCAAGCTGGGGAAACAGTGCTGGCCTCATCTCCCAGGACTCCCTTTACTGAGCTGTTCAAAACTACCTGCATGAAGCCAAACACAGTGACCAATGTCCACATGTTCTTACCTGTTCCCTGAGCACGCCTTCCGCTCTGTCTTATCCTGACTAAAGACTATTGGTTCTTTAAGATTCTGCTCAAGAGGCCGGGACATTTTCCCAGGACCACCCCTACCTACTATCCATGTGAGTGGATATCTTTCCCGAGTTCCCACAATGCTCCATAATTCCTCCTTGAGCACCTCAAACTGGATGGGGATCCCTGACTTACTTGGAACATCTTTCTCAATAGACAATGTCCTCATGCAATTTTTCCAAGAGTCATAGAGACAGATATGATGGATCCCCATTTTATAGATGAGAAAGCGGAAGCGTAAAAGGTAATGTCACTTGCCTCAGGTCACAGAGACATTGAGGAGTAGGACTGAGTTGAAGTTCAAATTGTCCACTCCAAAGTTATGACCCTGCTACCATGCAGGACCAAATATACATCTGTTTCTCAAAATCTGGTGAAGCACAAAAATGCATAGGAAAATTGGTAAGCTCACCTTCAATTTTTCCTTGAGATTTCTACTCCTCTGTTGCTTTATCATTTCATTTCTTTCCAAAACAGCCTCTCGCTGACTTTGAACAGCTTGCTAGATAGTAAAAAGAAATAAAAGAATGCAAAGAAGCCAGCATTTCCAATCGTGATGGCGGGACAGGTTGCACGATAATGGGGCCATCTTCATTTGGCCCAGTCACATCCGTATATATTAATATTATGTAGTATCAGGCATAAAAAAGTATTATTTAAAAACAACTGGTCCATACTTACATTTCCCAGCTTTCTTTCCCTGAAATAAAATCAGAAAAATGCACAATTACTGAACTTCCATCATGTGACCCAGCAGTCCTCTAACTTTCCCTGAAAGCAGTATGGTCTGCCACCTCGGTGGCTTTGTATAAGTTCCTTGGTCCAAAGGCCCCTCTTTTTGTTTTGTTTTGTTTTGTTTTGTTTGATACTGGGGATTGAGCCCAGGGTTACTCAACCACTGAGCCACATCCACATCCCTTTTTTCTTTTTTTTCTATTTTATTTAGAGAGAGAGGGTCTCACTGAGTTGCTTAGTGCCTTGCTAAGGTGCTGAGGCTGGCTTGGAACTCCCAATCCTCCTGCCTCAGCCTCCTGAGCTGTTGGGATGACTGGTGTGCACCACCATGCCTAGCAAAGCCTCTCTTCTGATCTACCTCCAGTGTCCATTTGGAAAACAGTGCCTTTATTTCTCAATGCCCTTTGCGAAATTTCCTGTGACCTCCCTCCCAGTGCCAGTCACAAGGCAGTCCTCTCAGGCTGGGGTCACACAGCTCTGCTTGTCCTTCTCATACAACCTTCAACCCTCTTTGAGACTGTAAGCCAGAGATGGGGCAATCCGCAGCCCACCATGGCGTTCAATAAACAGTTACTGAATCTGATTAAATTCTGTTTAGGTTTAGTGTTGGCATTGGGAAGGGGGAGCTTGAGACACTACTCGTTGATGAGGGGAGGGTGGGTGGGAAGGAACTGCAGAGAAGAAAAATGAAGCTGAAATTCCAAGGGAGACCAAGTGACTTCCTGGAGCGGCAGACTTGAGTTTCAGAGGGCCTGGGGGAGACCGTGGAGGGGGCAGGCGAAGAAGCTCTTGTGAGAGCAGCGAAGCACCCACAAGGTTGCATGGTGACCACATGTTAGTGTGCCCAGGGCATCGCAGTGCACACCCACCCATCCTCTGTTGGTCCACCTTTCACCCAAAGTGTCTCAATATGGAAGATAAGGTGCAGTCTCCGCAGTCATTCGGGGATCAGAGATCTGCATGCAAGCCCACCTCTGTTAATCCCCACCAGGCTCCATGTTGCTCACCTTTCATTCTTCGCGGTTAGACTGTAACTCTCAGAGAACACTTTCACTTTGGGCCAATGTTCTAAAACTTTAAGGGCCTTTTGCAGATGAGTTAAAAAAAAAAATCTCAGGAGGAGAAAAATCTGAAACAGAACCTAATCCTTCAAAGCTGTACCAGGCCAGACAGTTTTACACAATGGACTCCTAGTTGTGGGGCATCTACAAGTTCCATTTCTGTGGGACAAGGGCTAATGCTGCACGACCCAGGGGTGCTGTTTGCATACTGACTGGTGTGTGCCACCGTGCTGGAGCCGGGTAGGGGACAGCTGGCTTAGCACTAAGCCTACACCCTGGAGCTGGGTAGGGGATAGCTGGCTTAGCACTAAGCAGCTATCTGGAAGGTAGAGACCCAGGATTCTGATTCCTGGGACCTCCTAACATCCCAGGAAGTCACCCAGGCTTCTCCTTCACTCCAACAGTCATTTCCTGAAGTGGAGGTGAAGTCAACTTCCGTCTTTATCACCGTCAGGACCCAGGGAGAAAAGTCCCCAGCTGGGACCATCCTCCCCACAAGCCCAGCACTATACCTGAGATATTCCAGCAGGTGCAGCTTGTCTATCTTGGTGACCACTAGGGCAACGTCCCTGCAGAAGCCTCGCTGGCAGGCTTTGATGCTCTCATTCAGAAGGTCTTCATGGGCTCTCCCTCCAGAAACTCTTTCTATGTCGCTGATCACCCAGATAGCTGAGCACTTATCGATGGTCTGTGGAACATGCCCACAGCAGGGGTCAGAGCATGAATGTGGCTTGGTTCTGGAGGATGATTCCTTGGGGATCACCTGTGTCCACTCCCCAGACACCCTGCCTCCTGTCCTGTCTCTCACGCACACCTCCCTCCTCCCTCTGCACCAGCCAGCCAGAGCTGCATGCAGGTCTCTGCTCTTTAGCTCTCGGGGCCTCTGAACTTGCCACAACTTCTGCTTAGCCTCCATTCACCCTTCAGGGCCACTCGGGACCACGGCAGATGGGCTGGTTGCCTCTCCCCAGCATCCTAGACCACCTGGACTTGCCTGCCATAGTTCCTCTCAGACAGTTACTGTGCAGGGCCAGCTCTGCCCCCAATAAGGAAAGGGGCTGTCTGTACCCTTCATCTTGGAATCCACATCACCCCCAAGCACCGTGTTTGGCCATTACCAGAGCTTTGCAGATGTCTGTGGTATGGTTGAGTGACAGAATTCAAGAAATAAGTCCTCTCATCCCAAATCTGTCACTCACTTGCTTCATCTCAATTGTCCTCTAAGGAAAATGCAGTGCATCTATGCATCTACCCCAAACCTGTCTGTCACCTGCATCTTCAGTATGAGGTTTGATGGTCTCTGCATGTCTAGCATATGGCCACCATGTGGCAGCAGGAAGCCAAGCACTTTAGGATTATAAATTGCAAAGGAAAGGAACACATGATACCACATCATAATAGCATAAATGCTACTTTATTAAATGTGCAACTCTCATGTGACAAGCCAATGTGGGTTGCCTCTGATGCTTCTCTTGTTGTATTGCTTCTCTTATCTCCATATAAATGAAAAGTTGAGCCAACTCAGGGATCAAGACAAGACAGTACTTTGCACATAAAGCTATGATAAGTTTGTGAATTGATAATTAAATAATTATTTTGCTTTATGGCAGTGGTTTTAAACTAGTGGAGATTTTGTGCCCTACAGGATATCTGGCAATGTGGGCATTGCATATGTTGAGCAAGCACTCTACAAGTGAGCCACATCCCCAGCGCTGGAGACACTTTTAATTGTGACAACATGGGGTAATAGTGGGTAAAGGCTAAATGTCCTGCATGCCCACGCAGCACCCTGTGACAAAGAGTAATCTAGCTCCAAAAGACTCAAAATTGAGATACATTAACCTGCAGCAGGGAGTTTCAAATTCATCTTGCCCATGACCACACAGCTAGTGAGTGGCAGAATTTGAAGTGGAGAGCGTGTTTCCTAACTTCCAGCTGGGGCACAACCTGCCACCGTCTCCTCGCAGGACGTCCCCTCTATCCACTTCCTTTAACACCAAGCAGTTCCAGCATCCTTCCCTTGGGTCCGTAGCCAGCTCAGAGTCAGTGGGTTGGAAAGAATCCCAACACATGAACTTGTTTTTAAAACAACTTCTCTGGTGGAATTCAGAGTGGGGGACTTGGAGACCTCATGTGCTCAATACACCCTACCCTGGGTCCACAGCCTCTTGGCTCTACAGATTGTTGCTTTAGAAGCTTAGGTTTTATGAGTTAGACAAACCCTTGAACTAGAGAGAAGAAGACAGACCCTTCGAGATAAAGACTACTTAGGACCCTGTGACTATGGATTCCAGCCCTTACCTATTTGTGAATTGTCTTTCATTTAAACAAGAGAAATAAAACCAATCACTGCCCCCTCCCATTTCACAAACTATAGTCAATTTAGAGAGTTTTGGGCTCAGCATCCATGCAGGGCAGCAACCATCCAATCAGGTGAGGAAGATAAAGGACACCAGCTGGTGAGGAAGATAAAGGACACCTTGGAGCAGGCTCTCTTGACCCTTGCATTCCCTGTGGTTCTGATAAACCACGGGTGCTTACTAAGTGTACATTCACATGAAAACAAAAAAAAAGGCTGTGATCTGAGACAGAATTTGAAGTGGAGAATTTGAAGAGGAGAGCACATTAACTGGGGGGCTTACACCAAGCTCCCAACTACCAGGATCGATAAAGTCAGAGCCATGAGAGACACACACACACACACACACACACACACACACAAATCTTATCTATAGAACAAGACCAACTGGACTCAGTAGTGGGTGCGATGGTACCTGCCACCCCCACTTCCATCTCCCCATGATGAATGGGCCTCGGAGGGGTTAGGTGACAGGCTGAAAGTACCCAGTTGTAGATGGCAGACCAAGGATGTCTGAATTGGTGATGGTTTTTAGGGAAGGCAAAGCTGGTAGCCAGAGAGATGTGTCCCTGTGCTCTCCTCTCCCTGAACAGGGAACTCTTCAGAAACTCCTTATGAGAAGCCATCATGAAACCGCAGGAATGCAGGGGAGCCCCGGCCAAGCAGAGCACCCTGGGAACCATCTCCCACTCCAGCCAACCTCCTCAGAGCGCCTCTCCAGCCAGATCTGTGGGCTGTGATGAGCGGCCAACGTATCTGACCACACCCCATCCAGGGAAAGGGCCTCATGGCCTCCAGTTCACTTGTCATCTGCCTGCTGTGTGCTTTACCTCTTCTAAGAGACTCCAAGGCCCTCGTGGGAAGGCTCTGCTTCTCCTTCAATCTCGTTATAGTTTGCTTTCAACGTGTAAGTTGTAAGCACCATACATGTTTGTGCAAAATACACAAGCAATACAGGAGTATGAGTAAAGAGTGACAGTAGACACAGAAACTGTCTGTAGCTGGAGGGGTGCATCCTCCCAGAAGGGCAGGCCCTACTGTCTGCTGTTCACTTTAAACATTACAGACACACATGTAGACAGCCCTGCATGTCCATGAGTTCCGCAACCAAGGACTCAAATACCTATGGAGGGAAAATATTCTAAAAAACTGTGGCAGGTATGGTGGTGCACAACAGATGTGGAGGCAGAGGTAGGAGGATTTGAGGCCAGACGGTTTGAGGCCAGCCTAAACAACTTAAGGAGGCCTAGTCTCCCCCCAACAAAAAAAAAAGGGCTGGGGGTGTAGCTCATGGGTAGATCACTCCTAGTTTTAATCCCTAGTACCAAAAAAAATATATATATATATATATATATATATATACATCTTTACTGAATCTGAATGTGTCATTTTCTTGTCATTATTCCCTAAAACAATACAACAACTATTTGTATTAACATTGTATAGTACTATAAGTCATCTGGAGATGATTTAAAGTATATGGACAGATGTGCGTAGATTATGTGAAAGTATTACACCATCTGTTATGAGGAACTTGGAGCATCTGAGGAGTCTGGTGTCCACGGGGCATCCTGGAACCAACCCCCATGGACCCTGAGGGATGAGCATATGCGATTCTTAATGTAATAGGTCATTCTCTGAGTTCTCATTCACGGAGAGAACTGTAGAATAGAGTAAGAGTTAAGAGCAGAAGCCCCCCAGGGCTAAAATATCTGTTATGGGTGCAATTTACTTCACTTAGAACAGTGCCTAGCACAGAATAAATGCTCAGTAAATGTCCGCTGTCATTATTAGCCATGATCTTTGCCTCCTCTGGCTTAGTGTATGGCATGTGTGTGATAATAAATGAACAACGAGATACCTCGGAACACCTCAACCTCTGGTCACTGGGTATGAATTGCTAATTGCCCTCAAGGCTCTGTTGGTTCTCACATCTGGAGGTGACTGAGCATTGCATTGCTGGGAACCGAGCTCCAACCCGAGCCTTTGGTGGAAGGAATGGACCTCCATCCAGACCGTCGCCTTCCACCACAGCTGGCTGCACTAGGGATGGACACCTAATCTGGAGAGAATTAATCCATCAGCTGGGCAGTAACCTATCAGACTTTTCCTCTAAGAAATTTGAGCAAAAAGACATAAAGACAGTGCTAAGCCCATGAACTTCAAGGTCATTTAGAGACAGGGGTAGGGTGGACATTTTTGGCAATGTGGATCCTAATGACCAAGAAAACTGAGAGAGAAGCGGGTCTTTGTGAAGAGCCGTGGGAAGGGAGGCAGTCGGAGGTGGCCAGGCAGAGAATGACAGAGAACAGCTACTTCAACCCTGATGGGTGTTCCTGAGGCCAGAGCGTATCTCCTGAGGTCCTCCGGTGTCCTTTCCATGACTCCTCCTGATCTGGTATTGCTTTAGCTGGTTTCTGTCCCTCATCAACGTGGCCGCAGCCTCTAGGTCTTCCATGAGCAGCTGTTGGGCCTTGCACCCGCTGCACTCTCTCTCTACCCCACTCTGTCTTGGATTACTCTGCTTACTCTGAGGTCTTTCTATGGCTGACTGTCCACAGACCATATAAAGTAGAATTTAATCCCAGTGAACTCATAAAATTCTCTAAGTTGGAAGTAGAAAAAAAAATTTTTTTTTTTTGGCTTAGAAAGGATGGAGGAGGTGAGGGAAGAGGAAAGAAGCTCAATGAGAGAGAATCACCTTTTTCCACATCTCATCCCTCTTGCTGTTGAAGTCGCCTGTGCCTGGAATGTCCACCAGCACCACTCCTTCCGGAATCAGCGAGGATTTGGGGAGAGTCACTTCCACGTGTTTGATCAAGGGCCAGATTCGGGTTTCAGCTGATTCTCCGTCCCCGTCTCTCCTCTGAGTCCGGATGTAGGGGTCCAGCTTGATGGACAGTTCTCCTGCCTGAGAAGGAAGGTCACAGTCACACACCAGCGTGCTCCCAGCTCTTTTCTCCTGGGTCAACTGGACACAGGTCTGTTGAAGGCCTGGCCAATGGATGTCAGGAGGCCCGTCGTCTGCTCTGCAAGGGCTTTGAAAGGTTTCATTCATTTGATTTCCAATGTGCCCATCAACTGCTTAAAATATTCTGACAGACTCATACATATTACACTTTCATTATAATACAAAAAAAAATCTAAGGAAATTTAAATTCGTAAATATCTAAGTAGCATTAAATATTTAAGGATTTGTTTGTTAATCAGGGGATAATTGAACATTGGATGTTAGGATGTACATAAGCAACCATTCTTATTTTGTGCAAAAATCACCAGGTTTCTAAATAGAATAACAATACTTTAAGGATGAATTTTAACAAGAAAAACTAGGTTTTTAAATGCACAACTTGAATAAACTAAGTGTTGCTCCCACAAATATTTTGTTTTAATATGGAAATTAAATTTTAAAAAGTTCACATAGCACCACCCTGAGTTTTCATCTGCTGCCTGGGGAGGCAGTGGAGGAGGATGGGTCTAAGCCAATCAGGACAAGCCTGCTTCTTGCCTCTTGTCGGTCTCCCTTCAGTTAGGAAAGACCACGCGGCTCCCTTCTACATAATGAAATCAACACACAAATTTGTTGAGGGTGTTTCTGGGGAAGATTTTATTTCCTGATGAAAGGGGAGATATGGTAGGTGCCAGATTTTCCAACTTCTTCCCACGAGGCTAGCTGTGAAGTCTGGCACTGACTTCAGTAGTGACCTTAGGACCACAAGGCAGTGAGTGTGATGAAGGCCAAGAACTCTGCAGGGAAGCTGACCTGACACTGCGGAGCCTCTCCATCAACCCAGGACCCTGCTGCCCCCAGACTGCTTACATGAGAAGATGAATAAACCCCTATAAGTTTAAGCTATCCTATATCTTTATCATTTGCAGCTAAATAGTATCCTTAGTTAATCCTTAACTAACTATAAACGGTATTTTCTCTGCATAAAACCTCCTCCATTCCGATGCTAAAAATTTCTATTCAACAGCCAGAAAAGATAACTTGGGTCATGAATAACTCTGAATCAGGCATCAATTTGTTTCTAATAAAAACACTGTACCTCAGGTAAGTCCTCTAAATGGACTCACTGCTATATTTAAGATCCGTGATAAAATGAAGACAGCAAATCCTGAAGCTACCTACCTCTTCTGCCTTGAGGGTGATGACTCTGGAGGTGGGAATCTTCCCTTTGGGCTTTGCCCTCAGTAGCTCCTCATAGTTCTTTCTTTCTGCCCCAGTTCCATAGACCATCCTTAGCTTCCAGATGGCCTCCTCCACTGCGCCGTCCCCATCCCAGGGGTCCACCTCTTCCCCGCCTGGCTCCTCTGCACTGTGCAGGAGTTTAGTCAAGTTCTTCAGCTCCTCTTTCCACTCCTGCCAAGGCAGAGCAGGGATACACCCTTGGTGACACAGGAACAGGAGGAGCCATGCTACCCCATGCAGGGTCCAGGCTGCATCATCAGGACATCTCAGATCAGCTACCACGCCCCCCTGGCTGTGTGGATGAGGAAACAGGGCCCCAAGGGGAAATGGCTGGCCCCAAGTGCCACAGGAGCAGAACCCATCTCACTCCACTGAGCTTTCTCATTCCACAATACGGTCTTTCCACTCAACAAAAGCATGAGCTGTGTATGCAAGGGATGTGAGACAGTGAGAAGGGAGAAAGAAGGAACAGAGAGGAGGAAGAGGGAAGGAAGGCAGGGAGGGGGGAGGAAGGATGGGAGGGAAGAGGACGGGGGACACACTTGCCTGGTCAGAGAGAAGGTGGATTTTGGCCTCATACTGCTCACAGCAGCCCGAGCGCACTTGGACAATACAAGAAGTGCAAATGCTTTCTCCAGACACGGGCAGAAACATTGCCTGCTGGATGATGGCATTGATCAGGGAGCTCTTCCCAGCCCCAGTGCTTCCAAATAAGCCAATGTAGATCGGATCCAATGACGGCTTTTCAATCAAGGCAAGAAGCCTGTTTCTGTATTAATTATAAAATGCACATTTTCATGATCATCCAGGTGTAGTGGGGAGACCATCAGAACAGAATGCAAGGAACTGAGTTCTAATCCTGAGCAAGTCACTGCATCCTTAAAATCTCTACTCTCTCCTTGGTCAAAGGGAAATGTTATTCACCATTTGCCTCACAGAGTTGGCCTGGGTGGGGGTGCGGGCATGAAACTATGCAAAAATACTTGGTAAATATAATTCTATACAGATGTGAGGCACCTTGTTTGTGTTCAATAGAAATTACACATTCTTGTCCCTAATAAAACTGACGCAGAGGCAAAGCAGTATTATGGCAACCCAGAGTCTTACCGTGTAGTGGCACCCCCTTCTCCACAGAAAATCTTAACTAAGCTTCTCTAGTATAGTAGTTTGTAGAAGTGTGTTTGCAAATGCAAAATGTGATAAAAAAAATAAAATAAAATTTAAAAAAGACAGATCCTTTAATAAGGCCTCTGGCCTTGAGCTGGAGCCTCACAGAGATGTTTACAATTTCTAAGATAAGAGAAGTTACCAACTGGGCTCCATGGTAACAGCTGGCAGGAGAGGGAAGAAAGGGGAGAAGAAGCTCTCCCCTTCTCAGGGGTTGTTCTTGAAGGGTCAACTTGCCCAGTACAGTGAAAGAAAAAGCTGCTTTTATGTGATCTTCTGCAGACTGTGAACTTCTGAGCCCCTCCCCTTACATGCTGGGTATAAAACTCTGAAACTACCTGAACTTGGGGTTTGGGGGATTGACTGATGTCAGCAAAAGCTTTGCCCTCTGAACCTGGCTATAGCCAAATAAACCTGATTCCTGTTCCTTTTTTGGTGTCTTGCCTCATCTGTTCTCTGCAACAACTGAGCAGGAGAGATTGTAGCTTAGGCACCTCTCAAGCGCCTCACATCAGTTCCCCGAGTATAGTGTGGGGCACAGGCTCAGAGTCACATAGCCTGGGTCGGGTTCAGGCCCTTTTCTCTTACCAACAGTTTGAGTTTACTCAGTTTACTCAGTGCATCAACCTCTCTGAGCCTCAATTTTAGTAAAATGGGAAGATCAAAATAGCTCTCCTCTTTATAGGGTGTGAGCTTTAACATATGTAAGATACTTGGCAAATCACTGACAACAGGGACAACACAATGAATGGCAACTATCAGTGGTAATGATAATGGCCCCCAGCTTCAGAAACTCCCGGGTTTCTCTGCTTAGTTTCTACCTGAAAACTTCTTTCTGTTGAGTGGGAGAAAGCACCCGAGCCTCCTAAGGAAAGGCATCAGCGCCTGAGTCGAGGGTGTGGGTTTCGACTCACATGAGATACTTGACTCCGTTAGGAATGCTGTCATCTAAGAAGACACACTGGAGAAGTTTCTGGTAAGTGTTGCTCAAAACCCTTCTGGTCCGTGACTCCAATTTCTCATCTGGAATCAACAGAAATGAATTACCTGGGATGCGCCTGGCAGGGATCGAGTATTAGGTCTCCAAAGGAGGAGTCTGCTGAATATTGCAGAGAAAGGGAAAGAAATGAAATGAAAAGCCATTTAAACTAGAGAGCAAGAGAGCGACCGTGGGAGATTATCACTTGATGGAGATGGCAGCGCCAATTCCGACAACTCCAGAGGGCCAGCCTCTCTGCAACTCCTAATCAGAAGCCATCTCAGGCTTTGCCATGGGCTTTAGCACCTCCTAGACTCTTTTCTCCTGTGGCCATAAAATGACCAAAATGTAAGAACACCATCCAAACCCCCACTAAAGCACCAAATTAACCATTTTCTCGGCCTTTGTTCTAATCAGAAAGAGATTATTTTTATACCATCACCCCCTCTTCCAGAGCAATCTGGAGACAAGCTTTCAGATGACACATCTTCATTTGAAGACTTTTCACACTTCTCTGAGCTTTTGAACACAGTTGGGAAGGACAGAGCCGGGTTAAACAAGGTACACCACAGTTTTATAAACTCACATTCCTTAAGAGCGCACTGTTCTGCTGACTGAAGGGCTCGGAATCGCTGGCCTGGGCCCGACCGGCGTCTTTTCTTCATTGGTTCTTTAAATACATCGTCTTCAGCTAGAGGGGAGCAGAGGTTACGCAGTTATAGGTATGGGGCGGGGCATCTTTGCCTCACCTCACTCACGGCACAGGCTCTGAGGGCTAAGAGAAGACCTCTACCAGCAGCTCCTTCTGCCCATAAGCTCATTTGGAACAGGATACTGTGGCTCACCCCATTTGGTTCCTACTTCTGACCCAGGGTTTTATATTATTATTATTTTTATTTGATCCCAAAATGTAGCATCCAACATTATCTCCCCGCATGAAAAACATCAATTTGGAGGTTTTCAGAAACCAAAGTGGCTAGACATTCTTTACCAAATATCAAGTTTTAGGAAATCAACCCACTGTGGAGAGAAAATCCCAAGGCAAGGCTAAGTGTGGGTGAAGCCTTTTCAGACTAAGAAAGAAATTGATCAGAAGCAGAATGTGTGGGGGGGGATCATGGGCCATGTACCCAGGATAAATAATCCCCTGAGCAGCAGCTTCTTAATCTGTAAAATGAAAGAACTGATAAAAATGTGTTAGAGGAGCTTTGGATGGTGCTCTACAACATAGGTGCCTTTGAGAGGGAACATTTTCCCCTTCTTCACCTGGAGACATTAGCAGCTGCCTCTTCCACAGTCAAGAACAGACACAACAAGAGGCAAAGCTTTGTAGTTAAATCTTTGTCGTTCTGCAGACTAGCTCACTCAAGGTTTTCCCCTTGGTTACAGGTGTGAGGTTGGTAGGGCCCATAACCCCAAAGAAAGTTTAATCAAAAAGTTGTGTGTATGTGTGAGAGTGGCGGGGAGGGTTAAAAAACACCTCGGTGGTGGTGTTCACCTGGTTAGAAAGGGGACAGAGTTGTTTGTAATTATCCTAACCCAGTGCTTCTGGGACTGGCTTGTGCCTTAGAAAAAAGCTATGGGAAGAACTGGAAGACTTGATCCCGAAGAGACACCACACTCTAAGCTTATATAAAGAGGGCTGAGGCTCCAAAACTGAATGTCACCTACAAAGGCCATTTTCCCTAAAGAACTCCACTGTTCTGCTGTGGAATGCAGCCACATCAGAAGGCCCAGCCTCAGTCCGAGGTTCCAGATGTAGGTCTCCTGGACAGCTCAGGCAGCTTCCACTGTTCAACCTTGCAAATTCCAGCACCCATTCTGCTCACACCCCACAGAGTATTCTAGCACAGAGCCACATACCAAATACTGTCCCTCTGCCACCTCCTGCTCAGGAAGGGACTGTTGAAAGAGCTTGTAGTTTAGACCTTGTACCTCAGACATCTCACTTCAAGACTAAGCTTAACTGGAAGAATTCGCCCTGGCTCAGGTTAAGGACGCCATTAGAACTAAATACCAAGTGGTTGCTGGCTTGGAGGCTGGAGAGGAAGAGGCAGAGAAGAAAAGAGCATGCTGTTCAGGCACCTGGGCCAGCTGCAGGCTGAACAGCACAGTGCCAGAAAGTCCCCTCCATCTGTGTGGGAAAGAATGTAAAATGATATCCAATTTGTAACTTGGGGACTCTTTTGTGTAAGAAATGTTTCCTAGTCTCTTATCCACATGTGACAAGTGATAAGCCCTTATATTCAGGGCTCTTATTTCAACTCTGTAGTGACTGGCAATTAATCTGATAACAGACTGGAAGCTTATTTATCAACTAAAGCAAGGTTAAGAAGTAGATAAAATAGCAGAGTTTAAAACTCTTTTTTTTTTTTTTAATTTTCAAAGTGAAAAACTGCCTAGGAAGAAGAAAGTCTTGTATCTCGGACTCACAGTATTTGCTTGGATAGTATTTCCATATTGAATTATAACTTGAAATGTATTGGCCCGAACTTAGATCACAGCTCTTATTATTCCCTTTAATTGCTCAGGCACGAATTTGTGTTTTCCAACATTCTATATAGAGTTATCCTAGGAAAGATAGTAGAAGGAGAGGGAGACAGGACCAGGATAAAACAAAAACAAACAAAAAAACCTACTGCTGCTGTTGCTTCTGTCTACCACAAGGTGTCACATTTGAAAAGTGATCCCCAACAGTCCAACGCGAGATGCAGATTCATTGTTGCTCCAAACCATTGCCAGAGGCCTTCAGGATCTTCCAAGCAAAATGATCCCACTCCTCAATACTAAGCTCAACCAAGCGAATCCCCAAGTTCGTTCTGTTTCAGGCTCAGCCATGCTTCAGGTGCTGGCCACTACCCTGCTGACCCAGAGGCTTTACTTTCCTTTCCCCTAAGCTAATTCTTTCCACAGGAAGGAAAAAGCATTTCTCCATACATCTCAAAACACAAAGGACTATAATCCCCATTTTCTGCACATGGAGGTTACTTCCCTGCCATCTTCTAGGAAAAGCTCTTCCTAGGGGCCCTTCATCAGTCCTCTGCATGAGAGAGGTGACAGGATTCACCCTCCAAAGTGACCTTATAGGCTACATCTCTGCTTCTAAGGAAAGCTACCAACATCATTCCAAGGGCCCTACCTTTTCTGCTGCAAGAGAGGCTATCTTCAGAGGGTCTTAAAAGAAGGTTCTGTAACCTTTTTTGTAAAAAAAAAAAAAAAAAAAAAAAAAGAAGAAAACCCCACAACTGAATTGCCAAACAGTTCACTTCATTATGAATAGGCTATTTTAGTTATTGTTGAAATAAGGGGCATTCATTCACTATTAAAACTTGACATGAGAAAGCGGCATCTGACTGAAGAGCAATTAGAGACGATTAGATGCAGTCTCATCCATTACCTTTAACCAGACAACAGCAGTCTGTTCCTGTGGCTTCATCCGGGGACACCACTGCAGGTGTATTACCTGGGTGTGGCCTGGGCTCTGTTTCTGCCATCTCTTATTACGCGAAATCCTGCTTTTGTCACTTGGAAGAACCGATCTAAAAGGACGTACAAAGTACAAGGGGAAAAGCAGCAGACATTAAAAATACAAAAAGTGGAAACTAAGAATATATAGATCTGTCTATGCTTTGTTTTCCTCACTGGATTCCAAGCTCCGAAAAAGCAGCGTCCATTCTATCTTTGAATACCTCATGACACCTAGTGCCAATGACTTTCGTCTTAAATATGACAAAGGCTGATATGGGATCGTTAGTTTTCCTTCATACTTGTATCTTTGGAAGTTTAAGCTGTGATCTTTAAGACAGCCCACTCTGAATCAAGAATGAACCTCTGGAGGCTGGAAATGTGCAGTTGAAGTTCCCTGGCTTTGTGCCCCGGGCTCCAGTCAGGTGTGCCCTGACCCCTGGGCCAGGGCTGTTCAGTCCCCAAGAGCCTCAGCAAGAATCTGGGAGGGAGTTGGCTGAACAGTGGACACTCCTATGGAGTTTCTCTGGAGGTTACTGAGTGGGGAGGAGAGAGTTGCAGTAACTAGATTCTATGAACCTTCTTTGTTAGTTGCAGAGCAGGCTGAACAAATGTTAGCTGCAGGGTGGCGGAACTTTTGGCCCTCACCCTCACCCGTCTGGTTCCTTATTGCTTGTTTGCCCCAAGTCTGAACATTCAACCCCACTCTAGGCTGAACACTTGATCCCCATCAATCTGGTGCAAAAGAAACCCACATCTAGCCCCTGCCCGGTCTCACTGAGGGCAGAAGATGAGACCCTTAGCAACTACTGTATGATCCAATCACTATACGCCAACAAGGCAGCTTGCAGACCCAGAGATCTCATTCGATTTAGGCTATAAAAATTCTCCTCTCTCCTCTCCTCTC